CATATAAGGAAATGTTTGTACTCTTTTCCAAGGGAAGATGATGGTCTGTTCAATAAGCAATATTCAATAAACTGTCACATAGAAAAACTCATCAGCTTTTGCCTCACATCATATGCAAACAGTAGTTCAGATGCAGCACAGATTTTAATATAAGGAAAAAATATAAGGCTTTTAGAAGAAACCAATGCTTTTTGTTATTTTGTGTTTGAAAAGTATTTCTCAAGCTGTATACAGAAACTTGTAAGCATTGAAATTGGACTATACTTAAAGCACCTTGAATTTAACTTTAGAGAGTTAAAAGGATAGTCAGTAAACAAAAGATACTTGCACCACATATTGTCCATCTTGCCCATCTTGTTAGGGAGAGAGAGAGAGAGAGAGAGAGAGAGAGAGAGAGAGAGAGGGAGAGAGAATGCTCAAAGAAGCAAATAGAGAACACAGAAGCCTTAAGCCTGCTTTCCACTAAAGAAGGTACTCAGTCAATGAACAAACCATTTCTATAAAGTGCAAAATGTGACACAGCTAATATATATGTTAGAAGTCGGGGTAGTGCTACTTAATGGTCCAGAATGACTGACAGAGGTCATAAAGGGGACTTGGAAGTGATAGAAAGGCTTTGTTTCTTGATCGCACACTGGTTACAAGAGCATGTTAATTTTATGAACATTTAGCAAGCCATACAATATGACATATGTATGCTTTATTATATATATATTATACTTCAATAAAAGCTTTAAAATTACACAATGGCCTCATATTAATTACAGGACCTGTGAATTAAAAGTAAATTTTTAGGTAATTTCCAACCAGTTGTCCTTTCTTGTGTCTGAGGAATTTGATGACACATTTGTTAAACAAACATGACTTCAGATTGGCCCTCTATTAAGGATGAGAAACGTGATAATGGCTATTTTCTTGTATCTGGGATACAAATGGATGAATTTTGATTCTTGATTTGCAGTTCCATGGAGCCTAGATATTTTATTATTATTAGGAAGCTGAAAATTTGTTACATGGGACATGATTATAAATGGTGCATAATACTCACATCTTATTGCTCAGAACACAATATATGGCAATGCCACTCTGCAGAAGTCTGGAGGAAACATCTATTTTTATCTAGGAACAACACTAACTAAAAGAGCACCAGGATTCTATTAGCAGGGAAATGAAAAATTCACCATTTGAGGCAACAAACAGGACTGCCATAGCCTTAAACACTGAAGGGTTCCCATCACATTGTGACATGTTATATGGTCAACAACATTTGTTAGTCAGCATCTTTGCCATAACTGACAAAACCCCAGAATCTAGAGCATAGTTCCAGGTCACCATACTAGTGGGTAAGGGAGGGGTTCATCCGGTCTGGGAATTTAGCAGGTTGGTCAAAGGAAGGCAGCAAGAGGAATGTGTGGATTAGTGGCATCTGTACTACAGTTTTGGAATTGTCTGTGCACTTCATATCTAATAAGGAACAGGAGAGGAGAGGAGAGGGAGGAGAGGAGAGGAGAGGAGAGGAGAGGAGAGGAGAGGAGAGGAGAGGGAGGAGAGGAGAGAGGAGAGGGATCAATACATGGAAAGGCAAGAAATTATTCATAGCCTAAAGAAATATCCCAAAGCCTCCCACATGCTGCAGGCCCCATTGCAAAGACTCAGGCAATTACTTCTAGGCACAGATGCAATGGTCGCCAGATTTCAATTTGAGGCACGGATCTTTTCTTCTAGGTGCTTCTATCTGCAAATGGAAACACAAGCAGACTTTACCATGTACTATACAAAAGCAGAGTCTCTCTGGTATTCCTGAATTTTTTTGATATTTACAACAACTATGAAGAGACCTGAGCACCAGCTAAATTCATTACAGCCATGTTCTTTTATACTCAGACACTTTGGAAGCACGTTGAATACTATATGATTGACTTCTAGAGAAGAATCACTCATCAGGATATTTGACTCTGCTTTTTATTCTCTGAACTGGTCTCTTTTTTTCTTTTTGTTTTGTTTTAAAGATTTATTTTTATTTATTTGCAAGACAGAGTTACAGAGAGAGGTAGAGAGAGAGAGAGAGAGGTCTTCCATCAACTGGTTCACTCCCCAGATGGCCACAACAGCCGGAGCTGTGCCAATCTGAAGCCAGGAGCCAGGAGCTTCTTCCAGGTCTCCCACGTGGGTGCAGGGGCCCAAAGACTTGAGCCATCTTCTACTGCTTTCCCAGGCCATAGCAGAGAGCTGGATTGGAAGTGGAGCAGCCGGGACTTGAACCAGCGGCCAAATGGGATGCTGTCGCTTCAGGCCAGGGCTTTATCCCGCTGCACCCCAGCGCTGGCTTCAATGGCCTCTTTTTTTTTCTCATGAAAACCCTTTTGCCTGGACTCTAACCCCTCATTCTGTCAGAAACAAACATCTCAGGGCTGGCGCTTGGTGCAGCAGTTAAGATGCTGTTCGGGATGCCTGCATTCCATTTTGGAGTGCCTGCGTTCTGTCTCTGCAATTCCACCTTCCTACTAATGCGTACTCTGGGAGGCATCAGGTGATAGCTCAAGTACTGGGGTTCCTCATGGGGGGATGTGGTTGGCGTTCTAGGCTCCTAGCTTTGGCTTGGCCCAGCCCCAGCTATTGCAGGCATTTGGGTAGTGAATCAGCAGATGGAAGATATATCTTCGTCTCTGTTTCTGTCTTCTCTGGCTCTATCTCCACCTCTCGTCTCTCGTGCTTCTGTCTTGATGCCTTTCAAGGAAATAAAAAATAAAGAAAAATTTTAAAAGAAAAAATCATATAGCCCCTGTGAAAATTCCTTCCAGGTGCCTTAGCTGAAATTCAGCTCTGGGCACAATCAGTTTCTGACAGGCTACAGTTGGTTCCCAACTCTGTCTACAGTATTTCCTTTCTGCTGTGTTCATTCTTCTTCCCTGTCTGGAAGGCCTCAGGCTTCAAGGCAGCAGCCACACACTCCTGGCCTCCAGTATGATCCAGGCGGTTATCTCTGCACTTTGAGGCCCAGGTCCTTCTCACTGTTCACCCTATTCGTTTTGCCATTGTCATCTTCAGAAACAGCAAACATTCCTCCCCAGATAGGGAAGGGTTGATTCCACTACAACCTAAATGCCACGTGACTTCAATGCCCACGTGGGCCACCCCAAGCTAAGCCTGAGCCCATCAATTTAAAGGACCATTAATTAGAATCTCTTTTAGCCATTAACTCCTATATCCCAATTCTAGAAGGGTCTTGAGATAACTAGCCAGTCTGAGGCTTTTCTCACTTCTGAAATCTTATATCCACTCTCAAACCGCACGCCCAGTTACTCTCACTGCACCTGTTATCTGACTGTATAGGGTTTTTAGTCCCTTGATCCCATTATTGTTATCTTATTTCTCAGAAACCTCTTCTCTTCATTTTTCTTACATAAAACACTTAAGTGTCATGGCCCATTGCTTTATATCTGTACTCATTAACCTTATTCTCTTCTGTCATAGCAGTGATCGTTTTATTACCAACCATGGATCAATATTTCCCTTCTTAGAATGTATACCTTGTCTGATAAACAGGGTTCAAGATAATAATGCAGATATATATACTGGCACCATTGAAATATGTTGTTATCTTCGATGTTAACCAGGCCAACAATATGTCCAGAAAATAATTTTTTCTCAATAATTATCTCTCACTCGCATTTCCTATAAGGGTTATTTCAAAACTTACCGCATATTTCAGATTTCCTAATCCAAAAATCTATATCCACTGTCTTGAGAGACACTGAATTTCAATTTATCAGAACAAAAAAAATGATCCATTAGAAAGTAACAGATGTTTAAAATTTCTGCCTTCACACACCAAAGAATTATTTATACTCAAACTTAGCCTTTCCTCCTTCAAACAAACTTGGAAATAACTCTTCTTTTCACCAAACTTGAACCTCTATTTATGATTTAACCCTCAGAATTTTGATTCATTGCTTATAGATTCTTTCCTAAAACATTAAATATGCCCCAATATTTAGAAATCCATCACTATGATTTCAGCATCCCTATCCAGGTAACACCATGCCTCTTCCCTCCCCTTCAGACACAGATCTACCTTCAAATTTTTATCTTTCTTGTCTCAATCCCATGCCTCATTCCACTGACGTTTCATTTCTTCTAAAAAGACCCAAGTCATGATCTATGTGAAGTTAAAAAATCAGTAGACACTGAAGTCACAACCATACTACACATTTCTTAAAATATTCACTCTTTTTTTCCTTTTCTTTAAGAATACCAGCCATTTCTGATTTGCCAGTTTTCTCTTTGGACTACCCTTTGAGGTTTCTTTGGTACTTTCCCTAATACCCATCCTTTCAGTTTGGGTTCCTTGAGGATTTTCTTCTGTTCCTATTTTCTTCTGAGTTATGCCCTAAGCATTTGTCATGTGAAATAGCATCTACTCTTATAGGGTGTAGCATGTCATGGATAGCACTGCTGGCAAGGGACTAAACTTGAACTAGAAAGGAATTAGGTCCTAATCCTAATGACCCTTGGGTAATTATTTAACGTTGTAAAGAGTTGGATTTCATGTAAGTGAAGAGCACTAGTGCAAAATATGCAATAGTTATCAGTGGCTAATAACGTGGATTCTTTAATTACATTAATTAAAACAAACACCACTTTTGTTATTTACTGTGAATTTGGACAAATTGAATCTTCTCTTTCATCCTTCAGTTTCCTCATTTATAAAATAAAGATGATAGTAACATTTACCTCATAGAATTAAATAATACATTTAGTTAGTAATATTTTAAAACCATCTCTTCATTACCAGATCCCTGAAAACACTTTAACTCGATTATACTGCTGAGAAATTAAAATCTAAGTAGGAATGGGAAGAATCTGGAGCCTGTAAATAACACTCAGTTTGTGTCTAAATCTGACCTCCAGAGGGCACTGTTGCATTGACTGGCAATTTCCCTGCTTCTAAAAGCTTTGTGTCACTAGGATGAGCTTCTTACCTCACAACTCACTAAAGAGCACATTTTGAGTAGGATCAACACCACAAGGGTCGTGGTCAAGGAAGCACATCTTAGGAGTCATCTTTGGGCGTGGCCTGTACAGGAAACTTGAATCTGCATTTTCCCCATTACAAGAACTCAGTAGCCTTTGGCTTTCCTCCCTGCTCAGACACCATCCAGAGTAGAGCTTCCAGCTTCTTCACTGCCCAGCCATGACCTTGATGATCATTCTACTGCTGGGAACACCCTTCACGCTGAGTAAGTAACGTTGTACTTCTCCTCTGTCTCCATAGAAGGAGTGTTGCTCCGATTAGAGTCTGAATGGAGACGGCATCTCATCACAGGTAGGCCTATTCGGGTCTCACTGACATTGCATTGATGTTGCAGGGAGAACCGGAGCTCAGTCTGTGACCCAGCTTGACGGCCACACCACTGTCTCTGAAGGCGCTGCCCTGGAGCTGAGGTGCAACTATACCTATAGTGGAACACCTTATCTCTTTTGGTACGTCCAATACCCTGGCCAAAGCCTTCAGTTTCTCCTCAAGTACATGTCAGGGGCACCCTTGGTTAAAGGCCCCAAAGGCTTTGAGGCTGAATTTAAGAAGAGTGAAACCTCCTTCCACCTGCGGAAGCTGTCAGCCCAGTGGAGTGACACAGCCCAGTACTTCTGTGCTCTGAGCGACACAGTGCCTGGGACTGCAGGGGAAGCTGAACACAAACCTCCTGAGACAAACGTGGCAACTCACCTCATCTGTTTTCAGCAAGGCCTCATTTGATGAAAGCAAGTGGGGCGGCGGAGTGGAGCCACTGAGAGTGCTTGGCTTCTGAGAAGCAGCAGACACTTCAGCATATTCCTTCCTCTGCTACTGGGTCATGTCAGACAAGGTCTAGAACAGACAGCCTTGGATATTCTTGTACTTGGAGATACTGCGTTCCAGACAGCCAGGATTCTACAATACTACTAATAGTACTTAACTCTTAATCTTTCCCTACTCACTTCTGGCATGCTTCTACTACTATTTGTTTCTCAAGAGACGGCAACTCCATACTGTCAGTATCTATGACCACAACCTCAGAATTATCTTGGCTTTTTTTTCTCACTGCTCACATTTATCAAGAAATCCAGTTGAGCCTACCTTAAAAAATCAGCTCATAGCTTGGCTGTGGCTAACATCTCCACTCCTGTCTCCCTGATCAAGTCACCCTCATCTCTCAAATGAATTACTATTGCAACCTTCTTAAAAGTTTCTCTGTTCACCTTATAGTCCATTCTTTTTTAAAAGTTTGATTATTTTTTATTTGAAAGGCATCTAAAAGAAAGATATAGATTGAGATCGAGACAGTGAGAAGGAGAGAGAGATCTTCCTTCCACTGGTTCACTCCCCAAATGCCTGCAACAGCTGAGGCAGGGCCATGCCCAATCCAGGTGCCAGAAATTCTGCTGGGGTCTCCTACACGGGTGACAGGAAGCTAGGCACTTGAGACATCATCCGTTACTTCACAGGGACATTGGTAGGAGGCTGGATCGGAATCTGAGGTGGGATTCATTACTAGAAACTTGGGAGTTATGAGATGCAGGTGCCCCAAGCAATGGCTTAACTCACTGACTTAAGTCACTTAACTCACTGCATCACAATGCTCACATCACCCAGTCCATTCTCAATACGTAGCCAATGACAGTTTAAAACACAGATCAGAGCCGGCGCCGTGGCTCAATAGGCTAATCCTCCGCCTTGCGGCGCCGGCACACCGGGTTCTAGTCCCGGTCAGGGCGCCGGATTCTGTCCCGGTTGCCCCTCTTCCAGGCCAGCTCTCTGCTATGGCCAGGGAGTGCAGTGGAGGATGGCCCAGGTGCTTGGGCCCTGCACCCCATGGGAGACCAGGAAAAGCACCTGGATCCTGGCTCCTGCCATCAGATCAGCGCGGTGCGCCGGCTGCAGTGGCGGCCATTGGAGGGTGAACCAACGGCAAAAAGGAAGACCTTTCTCTCTGTCTCTCTCTCACACTGTCCACTCTGCCTGTCAAAAAAAAAAAAAAAAAGAAAGAAAAAGAAAAAAACACAGATCAATCGTAGACCCTCCTGATCACATCCTTGCAATGGTTCCCATTTCTCTCAGAGTAAAAGTCAAAGTCCTTACAGCCACCTGCATGGCTACATGTTGCATTTTCCATCAGTGAAAATGTCACACATAGATTATAGAAGATCAACACATCTTCAGATGCAGGCAAAAGGAGAGAACTCATTGTGAGCAGACCTGCTGTAAAAGAAATCCTCAAGGCCTTTTTTAAAGTAGGAAGGAAAGGACACCAGGGGAAAATTTAGAACTTCAAAAATGAGGGAAGAGCAACTGAAATAGTAAATGTATTATACCCTGCAAGCCATTAGTTTTACATTTTAGACAGTTTTATGGAGGTATAATTTGTATACAAAAACTGCACATATTCAGTGTGTACAGTAGACGAATTTGATGACAATCACCACAGTCTAGGCAATGGACATATCCATCACTTCTCTGTTTCCTTATGCCTCTTTGTTATCGTCAGTGTTTTTGCTATTGTAAGAATATGTAACATGAAGTCTACACTTACCCATTTTTAAGTATACAGCATGGCATTATGCTGCACAGATTTCTCAACCTTATTCCCAAATAGCAGAAACTGCACATGCATTGGACAACACCCATTACTCCTGTATTCCAGACCCTAGAAGCCACCGTCTTATTCTGTGAGTTTGGCCATTTCAGATACCTCACATAAGCATATTTGTCGTTCTGTGGCTGCCTTATTTCACTCAGCATAATATCCTTTGGTTTCATCCACGTTGTTGCATAAGGAAGGATTTCCTTCTTTCTAAAAAATCAATTTATTTACTTATTTATTTGAAAGGCAGAATTACAGAGAGAGAGAGAGAGAGAGTAGGAGAAACACAGAGAGAGATCTTATATCTGCTGGTTCACTCCCCAGATGGCCACAACCACCAGGATTGGGCCTGGCTGAAGCCGGGAACCTGTAACACCATCTGCATCTCCCATGCAGATGGCCGGGGCCCAAGCACTTGGGCCATTTCTCACTGCTTTCCTAGCTGCATTAGCAGGGAGCTGGATAAGAACTGGAGAAGCCAGGACTTGAACTGCTGGCAACAGTTTAACCTGCTATGCCCTGATACCAACCCCAAGGATTTCCTTCTTTTTAAAGGGTGAATAATGTAAGTTATGTGAATACACTCTGCTGTTTTGTATTACTTCATCTGTCAACAGATTTTTTTGGATTGTCCATATCTTGATTACTGTGACTACTACATGCAAATGAATGAAATTCAACCCCTTTCTTACAGCATATACACAAATCAACACAAAATGGATTAAAGACTGAAATGTAAGGCCTGAGATTGTAAGACTTCTAGGAGAACACAGGGAGAAAGAGCTTCATGGCATTGGTCTTAGAAAAGGCTTCCTGGAGATGGCAATAAAAGCATGGGCAACAAAAGAAAAGTGACAAGTGAGACTGAATCACCCTAAGCTTCTGTATAGCAGAAGAGTAATCTGGGGAATGGGAGAACATACTTGAAAATCCTTTATCTGATAAGGGGTTAATATCCAAGCTATATAAGAAACTGATCTGACTCAATAACAAAAGATAAATAAATGGAGAGAGGAGCTGATTAGACATTTCTCCAAGGAAGGTATAAAAATGGCCAAGAGAGACAGGTGTGTGTGACATAGCATTTAAGGTGCCACTGGGGACCCCTCTATTCCATATTGGAGTGGCTGTGTTTGAGTTCTAGCTAAGCTCTCAATTCCAACTTCCTGCTACTGTGTACCCTAGGAAGCACAAATAATGGCTCAATTTACAAAATGAATGTTATTACATATTTCCACAGTAGGTGGGATATTGCTAATTGTTAACATGAAACTACGCTACTGTGATTTCTGTTAGCCTGTGAAGGGACAGGCATAGGAGTCTTTAGTTCACGTAGTGGGTCAAGTCTAAGAACAAACAGTCAGGCTGAAAGAGAAACAAAAACTGAGGCTAGGATACAGCTTAGCCGGAACTAGCACATGACCTGTCCCAAGTGCAGAATGGAGTGCATGTGATTAGTGTATTGCCCACTACCCTTCCCCATTGCTACCTTCCCACTTTTCTCCTTCCTTTTCGTTGAACTCATCTCAACATACCAATATGACAATACACTGACGTCTCATTTAGAACTAGAGAACATCATTGAATGAAAAAGAAACTGGCATTTCTGAGTTCTATTTTATCTGTGAAAGTATAAAAATCATTTTTTTCCTCTGGTAATGGGCATTCTATGTACTTTCTGCCAATTTTTCTGTAGACCTAAAACTGTTCTGAAATATAAAGCCTGGTAAGTTTTCACAAATCAATTGGAATACAAAAGTTAAAAAGAAAAAAAAGGAAAAATCAATTCAGTGAACTTAATCTCAGAAAATATTTACTATGACCAGCTCAGATCTTTTTTTACTTTCCTGTTCTGCCTCTTTCCTTTTTATTAGTGTTGGTGGCTGTCTAGTTATGTATGCAGAACATTTATACAAGATCTTACACAGATATTATGTAATTTAATTATAATAACATGGAAAGTAGAAATAATTCCTGGTAAGTAAATCAATAGAATGTCATCCGAGAGAGTAGGTTTACGCATTGGATAGACATGTATCTAACTCACAGCTCTGTCATCGACTGATTTATTGTAAAAAAGTTATCAATGTATGCCATTTCAGTTTTATCATCTGTGTTCTGGCAATCATTATCATCACCATCCCATCAGAATTTATTCTAATGGGAAAATAAGAAAATATCTTTTGGGGTCTAGCTCATATTCTAGCACTGTATAAACACTTAAAAAATTCTTATAGCTAAAGAAATAGAGGTGCAGAGAAATAATATTGCCCATGATCTCATTACAGAGAGTAAGCTGAGATTTGAATCCACGGCTATAAAGTTTAAGGTCAACATCCTAATTAATTACATCACTAATGTATTCTCGTGTGTGTGTGTGTGTGTGTACACATAGAGAGGAAAAGAGAGAGAGAGAGAGAGAGAGAGAGAATGGGAAGAACAGAAAAAAGGCAGCATAGTAAACTGCCCAGACAGAGACACTCCCTGATACCTGTTGAGTATGGAAGCGGCAGACCTGATAGAATGGAGCCTGGCACAACATTGTCTAACCTTTGATTGATCTGCTGTCCCACATCTGGTCCACAGCTCTCTGCAGGGTTATAAATGTCATGCTTTTTATAGCTATTTCTCCTTGTACCGATGAAATGGAAACTCATTTCTCTTCTGTCCTGACACATCCCCGATTATTAACTGGGGGCCACAACATCTTTCCTTCTATTGCTGCATCAACTATGTAAACTTTCTTTTTATCCTCAAGAATGCTGGGGCAGCTGCTGTGGCACAGTGGGCTAAAGCCCTGGCCTGCAGGGCCGGCATTCCATGTGGACGCCAGTCCGAGTCCCAGCTGCTCCACTTCTATTCCAGCTCCCTGTTAATGTGACTGGGAAAGCAGTGGAGGATAGCCCAAGTCCTTGGATCTCTGCACTCATGTGGGAGACCTGGAAGAAGCTCCTAGCTCCTGGCTTCAGATCAGCTCAGTTGTGGCCACTGTGGCCATTTGGATAGTGGGTCAGCTGATGGAAAACCTCTCTCTCTCTGTCTCTCTGTCTCTCTCTGCCTCTCTGCAACTCTGTATTTCAGATAAATAAAATAAATCTTTTAAAAAAAAGAATGTTATATAATTCAAATGGTAGGAAAAAGGATGAGGATATTTAGCTAGCCTTTCCCATTATTCGGTGAGTGAAACTCTACATAAATGAAATGAGACCCTCGCAACTCACTCCTGTAATGTATGAGTTTCCTTTCCTTAAAACTTCCAGTCTGGATAGCTTCTCAT